TGCTTCTCTATTGTAATCAGTGTGGTACTTCTAGAGATATATATAAATTGGAGTAGGGTTATTACTCATATAGAGGATCTAAATCAGTACAAAAATCCTCGCCTCTTGTCTCTTTACTACTATCTCGTGTATACCTTGGTAACAACGACCACCATACTCTATAAATATTGTTGTCGAGTATAGCCCATCGACAGAGTTGTACGAATACTTTTTAATTTACATCCACCAAGTAGCATAGCAAATATATTTTGGAAATTGTTTTAGGAGAGCATGCAAGACCATGGAAAAAGATGAGAATTATGATTGGGTTGTTTCTCTTTGTTAGTCAATTTGGCTACATCGTATTGCCATTGTTTGATAAAAAATATCTAATACACGTGCATCTTATCTTTATGTACACCAATTGGTCATTTGGTTGTGGTGCTGGTCCTAGTTACACTGCGAAGAGCCAAGGGACATTCAACACATCGCTTTGCTGAACTTTTGAGGGTGGTTATGAAGATTTTCAATTAGCATGGAGGGAGATTCAACAATAATATGCTATGTGTGGCTTAATCTTTTCTCTCTTTTTTTTTTCAGTTTTGCTTTTGCTCATTTGTTCTCATATATCTCATACTCTGCTATATGAAGAAACTTTGTACTAATATTATGGTTATGTGCATGCATATCATGGCATGACGTATATTATGGGTGCTATCTTCCATTATATAAAAAAAAGCACATGCCGGCAAATTTATATCAAATCAGATGATTGTGTGCTCGTGTCTCTGAAATAACCTGTACTTGACCACTCTTGTAGCTGCCATGTCTCTTCAATCAGCTATTTTTCCCCCCATTCACCATCAGACCAACCACCGAGAGCCGTTCCTGTTCTTTGTCTGTCCATCTTCTACTGGTATATCGAAGCATGCCAGCCACCAAAGTCTTCTAATGCAATCAATTAATCGGAGATACTTGTGGTAGAGGCTACAAATCCTCACTGCAACACTGATAAAAGAGCACTGCTATGCGTACGACGGATTCGTACAACCTGCATCCGACCATACCATGTGCACCAATCACCGTCTTTGGCTTCTCTGCAACGAACCAATGCAAGCGGCAGTCGGATGCATGTCGTACATTTCAGTCGGACGCATAGCTATTTCCCTGATAAAATGTATTTATGCATTTCACCTTAACTAGAAGCATTGCAATCAATTAATTGGAGATTCTGAACATCATGAAACATGGATATTCAGTCCTGCACTGCAAGTCAGTATAATTGTGAGCCAATGGGTAGAAATTTTGAGCAAATATATATATACTTACGATTGCAACTGTAATGTTTACAATCAACTTGTGTTGAACTTATTATACACATGCTACTTTACCAAAGATTGCTTTCTGTAAATTAACATTGCGTGTAGACAAGGATTACATGATACTTCAGCAGTTGACACTATCTCATCATTGTGTGTGAGACGTCACAGATTAGTCCATAGTCTAGAAAAAGGTACTAGATGTTAGCTGCAGCCTGCAGCCATGCATCTGATCCAGGAGCGTTGCTGAATGCAAAAGGCTGTGTGCAACAGCAACTGTATAACTGTGTACATGTGCTAGGAGCAGCTAAAAGGTGCATAACTCCCCAATGGCGAAAACCAGGGGCGGTTCGACGACAGTTTCTTTCTCTCTAAACCACGGTTTGTGAAAGAACACAAGCATGGTATCCATCCATCCATGGATATATATTTTTGAAAGTTTGAGAGTTGAGACCATGCCGGGTTCCCCTCTTGTTTTAATAAGCTACTCTCTGTGCCTCTCCCTTTGTCTGAATTTCAATCAAATGATGAACTCTTTTGTAGAAACTGTGAGGTGCCTAGGTGTTACTATGGGCAGGTACTAATCCAGTTTATCGCGAAGACATTATTAGGGAGCTTCTGCTCACAAGGAATGCTAGTTGCAGTATGTGGAAGATAACTTGATCTAACTTACTGATCTAATTTATGCGGCTTAAAATGAAGCTTCCTACCTATTGTTTTGTCATTAAAATGTTCTGCAATGATATTATGGTGAGATGAAAAATGCAAGAAGTAGCTATCAGCAAGCTAAGCCACTGGCTGTACTGATAACAATGGATATGCAGAACCACTTGATGCATGAATCTGTTGACATTTTGACACTTGAGGAATTCTGATCTGCCTTTTTCACCATGAATAATGCTTATTCTTTTTTAGTGATGTGCTATGTTAAGCGATGAAACCTTTTGTATTGTCATCTTTTGAAGCGACGGCGACCTGCCTAAGATTTGAACAGAAACAGACATGTGCTCAAATATTCAGATGAAATCTTACTACAGGCTATGACTTTAATTTTGCATATACTGTTGCAGAATAGAGAGCAGTTGTTTCACAAATTTGTTCAACATGATGTGGCATAGTTCTAATTAGGCCAGATAGACATTTACATGCTCCGTTTTTCCTGTACAATTTACTTTGTACAGTAGGTATATCAATCCTACACTGAATAATTAAACCGTGGACATCTTCTTCTCAAGTAAAAAAGGACACCAAATATTTTGGCCGCCGCAACAGGACGTCATGGTCTAGATGCCGTGCTAGTTTGTGTTTTCAGCCATCCAAAGTGATCTGAAGTTTGCCTAACCTAATTAGCTGGACAAACCTTTTTAGCTCTGTTTATTTTCCTGTCCTCTCAGCTATTGAGCTCTATACAGTGAAAAATTTATCTTGGCTCGTATAAAGAAACAAGGTTGATTGTAGAAAAAAAAATAAATTCATCATCTAAAAGAAATAAACCAAAAGATTATTTTATTGTTGGTTTAACCTTTAAGTCATGGAAAGCTAGCTGATGAATGATGATCTGACTTTTGGTTGTCCTAATGGGCAATGCACATAAATATCGGGAGAACATTTGATCCTTCTGGAGAACACCAGCCGATTTATGAACTATACGATGATAAAATCTTATCTACATGAGGCATTAGCCCTATGGGTAGGACCATAAGGTAGGACAATGTATGAGACCCAAGGTCTATTATTATACTCCCTCTGTCCCTGTATATATACGATTTTGGTTGGATGATGTCCAGATTCGTTATATTACAATGTGTTATATCCAATTAAAATCCCTTATATTTAGGGACAGAGGGAGTACATTGAAATGGCAATCAATGTAAAACAAGAGCTACTTATCATAGATTGTTCTCATTAGGATGCAAATATCTATTTATGGCTTCCATTTAAGAAAAAAAAAAAAAGAGAGAGACTAATACGATACTTCTATTGGACAGGAGGTAGCCAACCACCAGACACGAAGAGATTGCAATTTTCCTGGACATGCAATTTGCAAGTAGGTCATACTAGTTCAAGAAAAATCTTCACCTAAACTTCCACAAAACAATCATCTTTGTTTATCATTTAAGAAGGAAATGTTCTCCCTACCTTTCTTGTGGTCCTATTACTTTCCTAGCTATCATGCTAAAAGCAATAATATTATTTGAGGCAGAGAAGTTCTCACAGATAACTCTGGACATCCCATCGTACTCATTTCTCATCAGTTTTCTATCTAATACTTTATCAGAGTTAAATTCATTTAAAAAAAGGCTGGTCAAATAAAGTTATTTCAAAAATTAGTACGTAGTATAGTCACCACATATCAAAGAAACGAACATTTATATTTAATAAGTTCTACCAATAACTTAAATTTCTCCAATTCCCTAAAATATGTATTTGACATTTTTCTGAGACCCCTGAATTAGAAATGGATAAAAAATCCACTGAACATGCTTTGAAAAAGCTGTTAATTTCATCAAGGAGTTTATAGAGACATAGTATGTTCTTCTTATGCTATACTCCCCACAGTTTCAAATTACTTGTCATTTTAGCTTTATCCTAATAAGTTAAGCAATTTTAACTTTGACCATCAATTTTAGAAATTCATATAATTTAACAGCATGTAAGTTATATATCATGAAAGTATTTATTATAGTGAATCTAAATTATAAATCTTATAATGTTAAACTATATAAAGTTATATAAATTGATGGTCAAAATTACAAATATTTGACTTAGGACAAATATAAAACAACAATTAATTTGAAATGGAGTGAGTATATGTTTTATCGTAACAAATTTGACGTACCGAGTAACTCATGGTGATTTAAAATAGATTCACACTTGTTTATACCAATTATAATAGTGTATTTTCATTTATTTTGGAATCATACAAACTTTGGTTAGGTGAAAAAGGACCAATTTGACTAGTTGATACCATGCATTTTTTTTCATTGTCCACCTATGATTTTTCAAATCACTTATTTGCGCCTTTTACTTATAGAAGCTATTAGAAAATGGCAAAAAAATAAAAACTCAAATTTTTATATATACAATTTTGTGTTTGTTTAGTTATATAATAGCATTTTATCGACCCATTTTCAGGGAAAGGTAGGGAAAGTGCTTTCTGATTGTAGAGGCAGGAAGTGGAAATCTTTCAAGATGTAAAAGTTATTATTAGTTAAATCAATGCAGAGCATGTGTTATGCTTTAGACACTGGACCACATTTTTGTCCCCCCAATTGGTAAAAACATTAAGACCTTTCTTGCAGAAAAAATAGATCTACCCCGGCGGTAGATATCCAATACTCTCTCTCTCTCTCTCTCTCTCTAAAAAGTAGTGAATACTCTGTTTCACACAGCATCATCTGGGAATGAATTGCTGAAAAATGTCACAACAGGTACTGTAAGTAACAAAGGGCCATGTTTCTCTAGAGCTAGCTTATGGAAACATTTGATTGAATAATCCTTATAAAAAATCATCCCAAGATGCCACAGAAGATTCTAATCCCACAGGCAACAGCCCACCATCAAGTTCTGCTTTTCTTCCCCATGTTTTTTTGCCCACTAACTCACTAGCCACCACTATCCATTACACCAATATAATATTTCTGTTTCTTCTTCTCTCACAAAACACTCCTTTTTTTCATCTATAAAAGAGCCCCTCTTCCCAAGCCTCAATTCCCTTTTCCCCTTCTCCCCTCCTTCCTCGCTAAGGTTCCCTTGCTTCAGCAGAACCCCTGCTGGGCATCCTCCTCTTTCAAAACATCCTTTGCTCTCCAACCACTTCATCTTGATGTTCTTAATCTCCTATAGTCTTTCCCTGTGCGAATTTTTTCTTTGAGAACCAAAGTTTCTTAGGGAAATTCTGTTGAATTTTTCCTTTGAGAACCAAGGTTTCTCGGGGAGACTCTGCTAAAATTTTTATCAACTAGCAAGTTGAAAATACATCATTGTACATATATTTTGTCTGCACATTTATATACAGTAGCAAAACCTGTTTGTAGAGGAAATTATTATAGTGTTTCTGGCTGGTTGATCCATGATAGATTAAACAAGGGGAGGTTGTGACTTGGTAGATGTCACCAATCCTCTCCGAGGTCATCCTCTCCGGATTTATGATCAGCTCGACGCTCCGGCGAGGCTCTCATCTTGTCCTCTCTTTCTCCGTCGTCTTCCTTTACTGGTTCTATGTCTTCTCAGTAACATCCTAGCTACTGTTCTCTTTTATTTGATCCATCCAATACCAGAGAATAGACCACCATATTCTACAAAATACTTCTCATTGGAAATTATAGCTTATAGACAAAACTGAGGGTGACAATACTGTAAGGTATTTTCCTGAGTGTTGCACTAAGGAGGGTACTCAGGACTTTTATTAGGATGACCCTGTCAGGTGGGACCCTGTCAAGCGGGATAACCTCTGGCTCAAGCCATGGGACCCGGAGCTCAGGGTCAGAGGGTGATATCCAGCTGCAGGTCCAAATGGACCTGAAGCGGAAAAGAAGGAAGGAATCAAACCGAGAGTCGGCAAAGAGGTCTAGGTTACGGAAACAACAGCACCTCGATGACCTTACCTCACAGGTATGTTTGAATTCCTTTTTTTCCCTATCTATATACATATATATATAATATGGTTGCATTTGTTATGTAGATTTTAATATGTTTGTAGTTCCTAGCTTTAATTAGTTTGCTTTATGGATTGAAGCTTGCACTCATGTGCAGGTGAATTTGATACACAAAAGCAAAATCAGATGAAAAAGGACACTTGAGCTGAAGGACTTGCTCAAGGAAACTCCAATAATGCACACGGTGCCCTTTTTTCAAGGGGCCCCAACTAATTGCTTCGTACATAATACTTGAAAAACATTAAACTCGCTATCACTTCCAAAGAAAAAGGTGATAGGCAACTAGTTACCAACAATTGCTCCCAACTGTCAAATCTGGAAATAAGAGCAAGCTCATCGAAATTTCTTGATGCCGATCAAGACCGGATCAAGCTTATGTTTTGCTCCGGAAATGTGAAGGCAAATTTCTATGAACTGTCAGATATCGCAAGAAACCTTCATCCAGAATTTCATTCATTTTTCCAGATTAATCGTACCAACAATAGTAGGAAAAGATTTCAGAATGTTGCTTGAACAAATTAGCAAAATAATACATACCAGTGTAACATAAATAAATAGCACAATTCACCAGATGCACATGGTAGATAGTAATTACTTGCACAATCTAAAATCTGTTCTGTTCATCACAGCTTCCTTCAGCAAATCCAAAAAAAAATGTTTATGTTAAAAAGGAATGTTATCTTGATTATATAAAATAGGTGAACCAGTTGAAGATGGAGAACCAGCAGCTCACCACAACATTGAACATGGTCACCCAAAGCTGTGCCTTCGCAGAGTCTCAGAACTCAGTGCTGCGCACTCAGATGATGGAGCTGGATAGCAGGCTATCAGCGCTCCGTGAGATAATCTTCTACATGAACAATGGAAACCAATCACCTTCTAATCCTACAATAGCAGCGACTACATACCCATCCACCACTACAATGACTGCAGCAACTACTGGCCATTACGATTATTATGATGTTTTCACTGCAAATGCATGGGGCTCAGGGATGCAAATGATGCAGCAGCCCATAGATCAGTTTCTGTACCAGTGCTAGCTAGCTTCTAGCCAGGAAGTCGATAGAGATAGTGGACCAAATTAAGAAACAGGGCATTGAGATATTGGGCGTGGTGAATGTTGTAGCTAGGTCCATATTAATTATATTGTGTCACCAGTGGTTGTTTATCTTTTGCTTTGATTTGTGATCGGTTGTGGGGGCAGGAAAAAAATGGTGTTGTACCTTTCTGCTGTTGGTGGTAAGAGGCCAAATGGCTATTGGAAAAGTATCAACTTGTCATTTGTCATTGTGTGAAGAGGTACCTCATGTTACCTCTTACGTGTATGAGACAATGAGAGGAAGGCGATGTTGTGGGAATCAACCTGGCAATCCAGCATCCCCTTGAAATCAATTGCCCCAAATTTCTACAAACACTCCAGGAGGAAGAAGAGGACAATCGCTGATGCCTCAGGAGGAGAGAATATATTCTCTACCACTGAGTTCGTACGAGTTCAGCAATATTGCCCCCCTCCCAGACACTGTTATTTCTGGAGGATTTTTCCCTTGTGTTTTTTTGGTTGCGGGTTTTATAGGAGGGACAAGGCGTACGGCTCTTGCACTAGAAGACGCTGACACGTGGGCCCATTGTCAAGCGGGGCCACATGTCATCCTTACAAGTAACATTTAACACAAAACATTCTTACTTATACAAAATCTTGTTTCCCCATGCGGTGCCCTGCCTCGCGTGCTATATATATGGCGTCCGTGCGCCGCACCACGGCACGGCGTACGTCGTCGTTGCGCGCCGCACCAGATCAAACAGTACACAGAGTGCCTTCGACCCTGCTCTGCTCAGGCGCCGTCACTGGAGTCCCTGTCAACCAGGAAGGCGTACCAAGCTTGAACAAGAGTACCTCGAGGACACCATAAGTCAGCGCGCGCGGCGTCGGCACCGCTCCTGCTCCGCCGTCCCTTCGGCAGCCGAGCTGACGAGTAGGTGCCGACGTCACCGGCCGCCAGGAACCCAGCGCCGGCCGGCTACCTCGTCCACGCCTGGCACCGGTTCTGCCTCAACGCCTGGCTCCGGCGCGTGGGCGATGGAGCGACGAGATTGGTTGGATGGCGTGGGGAGGTCGCGGAAATCGCACAAACACGGCTGCGAAGCGACGGATGCGGAAGACTTCGTGAGGCCGACGAATATAATGTGACCTATTTGCGCGCGCCGCGCTCGATCGATCGTAGGCCGAGGCGCCGAGCTAAGCTAGCCCGGCGCACGTACGGGGTCAGCAGCGTGGACGGTGAATCGCTCTACTGTGTAGCGCGCGCGTTTGGCTCGGGCATGCATGGACCATCATGAGGAGGAGGCACTAGTGTGCGAGTGGCGGGTACGGTGGTCTTGGCGCATGGCCGACGTCGGTATACGTACGTGCACGGGGTTGCAGAGCACGGCTGCACGAGGCGTGGCGCAATGCGTGCTGGCAAGGTGACGGTGTGGCCGCACGGCGCATGCGAGAGGTCTACACGACAACACACTGCCAACGCGGCGCGTGGCACGGTGCGATATGCACGGGAGTCGTGTCGCGCGCCTTGGCTAATTGGCTTGACTCAACCGGTGTCCGGTGGTGCAAGGGCTCGGATCGATCGGATGGCGTGTTGCCGTGCTGGCTTTGCGGCGCCGACGTGGGCTCGACCCGGTGCGGTGGCGGCTCACGGTCGCGGGGGCCGGCCGGTCGGCTTTGGTTGCTGCTCAGCTGGGCTAGGCGGCTTTGTCCTGTTCTACTTACTGGGCCGGCCTTTGCTCTGGTCGGTGGTGTTCATGTATTTACATGATTAATGCATTTCCGGTTAAGCTTCCACTCTCGAGTTTGTAGTTACTAAAATTTGATTCTTGTAATTATTGTTTTTGAACAATATTTATTGCATTGGGAATTGATTTTAATTAGTTCAACTTCCCAAAGATATCTGAATCTCCATTTATTTTAGTATATTATTCGGGTTCTTGTATTCCATTAGTATTTTGGGATTTGGGAATTATATAAAGGTTTTAATTCCTGGTTCCATGTTGTCAATAGAACTCTAGATGATACCCCGCGCATTGCTGCTAGATCTTATAGAAATGGCTTTTTTTAATGAAATATTGTAATGAAAAAATTAATAGAGTTGTATGATAGATTAGAAGATAAGTGTGTGAAGTGAAGAAAAGTTTACAAAATTGGTGATGAGCTGTGAGAAAACATAATTAGTGAGAACATTAGAAAGATAAAACTATCATCGATGGAACTTACCTCAATCTAGAAATGCTCTCAAACTATGTCTGAACTCTTTCATTTTAAATACAAACAAGTTTATTATGTCCAACAACGGACACATGGTTTGAGACATATGTACGTTCTAAAGTTGATAGTTGACATAAGATAAAAGAAGCAATTGATCGAGTGGATGTGGATTTTGTGCTTAAGGGCCATTTTGGTTTGGTGCCAATTCTTCCCTACTAATTCTTAGGTAGTTTTAAATAGTGCATGTTAGCATTTTGGATTGAAGCCAATTTTTGTCAAATCAATAGAGTGGAGCCAAATCTATACTATAAAAAATTTGCTTGTGCCAAAATTTACCTAAAGTTTGGTGCTACCAATATTTTGGTAGGGTTTCAAACCAAACAAGCCCTAAATTGTTGAATTATTAAAGAGAATTAGGAGCAGCAATTATATTAGAGTGAGTGATTACCTAACGGTTTCCGTAAGCATTAAGAAAGTGCTCATTGCTTAATCATGTATATTGTGCAATCAATACCAGGAATGGAGGAGATTGCTTATCAGTTAAGAAAGCGTTACGAAAAATGAGTTCGTAGCCAAATCAATAAGCTGATTCAAACTAAGTTTAGCCTTTTTCTTTAGTACTATCCCATTTTAAATAATATTTTATTATGAAAACATTGACCATTATTTTTTGAAATGATTAAATTAAAGTGAACAGAATTCCATGATTAGACATTACATTAACATAAAACATGGCATTCCTTTGAGTGTTTGAAAATGTTTTTCATAAACACTAATGGTTAGAGTTTAAAAGTAAATATTGTGTGTTGTAAGTTATTTAAAAATAGAGAGAAGTTTCTCGGACCATATTTGTGTGTAAGCTAGAGAGAAGTTTTCCCCTTAAAACAATAAATAATTAGGAAAAAATAATAAAAATTCTGCAACATAGATTTCCCTCATCTTCTTCTCTGTCGCGGCGCTATCATTGCATATCTTTGTTGACTCTAGGACATGTTTCTCGTGCGGTGCCTCCCTTTCAATGTTTTTTCCCCATGCCGTCAGATAAATCGATTATCGTCCCTATTTCCTAACCACTCCAATGAATCATCTTCATGTCCGAGGCTGGCCCAACATCCTTCGCCTCTTGTGCTGCTAAAGACGGCTCCACCACCCACCACCAGGCTTTCTATTCCTATGATCCCTCTCCAAGTGTTCATTTGTTTTTAAGGATTTTCAGAGAATTGTTGTGGGAATTAAAACCTTAGGAATTTTTCCTACATGCATCATTCATTTCATAACAATAGATCCTATCCAATTCCTAAAGATTTTATTTTTACAACCTAATTTAGTAGGATTTTTAGCATGAGGTGAGAGATCCAGAAAAATTCGTAAGGATTAGAGTGCATGTGACATTCTAATTCTTTACTTTTCCTATTCTTATGATTTACAAACCCTGTGAACCGAATAATCCCAAAATATGTCCTTGTAGTCAACCGTTTTCTTGCGCTGTCTGTCTTTGATGTGCTTATCGGATTTTGAGTCATCACATTATCATTCGAGAACAGGCTGTCGCCAATGAGTAATTTGTTCAGAATTTTTTTTTAGATAATGGATTTTCATTTGATAATTTAGTTGAGCTGAACCAAAATGAAAAGGTAAAACAATAGTTGTCCACAAGGTATGTAGTGTTTTCGTCTGTTGACTCTATTCTTCACTTAAACTTGGACGCATGCATGCCTTGCACGGGACTGCCAAACAAATTAACAAACGAGAGACAAACCTAGCGAATACCAGGATGCCTTGTCTCCCGGAAACGGCGCCATTTCAGAGGACTCGAGAGGATGGATCGATCTCCAGGGCTGACCTGAGTTTTCCGTAGCTAAGCTGTATGGAAAACAAACCTCGGATAGGACAGCCAGATGCTGGATTAAAGGTGTGTTTAGTTCACGCTAAAATTATAAATTTGATTGAAATTGGAACGATGTGATGTAAAAGTTAAAAGTTTATATGTGTAGAAAAGTTTTGATGTGATAGAAAAGTTAAAAGTTTAAAGAAAAAAATTGAAACTAAACTCGGTCTAAAACTAGACTTGCTCGTCGAGGCACAGAGAGCGTCGCAACTGATCCCAAGGGCTCTGGAACGACAGTCGACAGGGCCACGGTACGGCCGCTGGCGAGCGCAGAAGCGGACGAGACATCGCGAGCGTGCAAGCGGCGACATGCGCGCGCACGAGGGGCACGCACACGTGCGTGTGCGCGCGCCTCCCGGCGGTCGTCGCGCCTAGCCCGGATGGGACGATATACCGGGCGGAGCTAGCTGGTGGTTTCTAATTTGGCGCTGTGCAGGCGCAGGCAGCAACAAGCATACCGTGTGCCTAAAGACCGACAGTGATGCCAAAACCAAACGATGGCAACATATATTCAAAGGAGGATACCGGTACTAGCTGGTAGACAATACTTCCTCCGTCCAAAAAAAATTCAACTTGTGGAGTTTGAATTTTGTCCCATAAAAAACCAATTTCTACCTTCATACCCAACATCAGCACGTAAAACGAGAAGTTTTCTTCCTTAAATATCATTTACCTACCTATCATTATTACTACTTTTACCAATAATGAGAGGCATTTTTTTTACCAATAATGAGAGGCATTTTGGTCATTTTTACTTGATGTTTTATGGGACGGAGGGACTACATGTTATTTTTAGACACTATGCCACGACAATTGAGACAACAAAATCTTTGACAATTAAACCAAAATATTACTCGCTCCGTTTCAAATTAAACCAAAATAATACTCCCTCTGTTTTGGGTTATAAGATATTTTGACTTTTAGTTTTATTAAATTAATAATTAAATATATTTTTATAATAAATTTATCTTGGTCAAAAATATTATTATTATTTTCTATAAACTTGGTCAAACTTGAGGTAGTTTGACTTCGATCAAAGTCAAAACATATTATAACTTGAAATGGAGGGAGTAATTTCTTATTTCTATTATTATTTTTCTTTCTTTCACCCTAATGCAATCAAGTTTTCATCTAGAGCAATTTCACAGTTATTTAGGAGGTACCATGAGATACCATTTTTTCTATTGTAAATTTGATACCTAGTTACTATAAGGTACCAAATTTTGTTGTTAAGCCGATATTATCCATATCAACGATGTTTTATCTCTTTTTTTCTCTATCTTCCATATTAGTAACACTAGTACACAAACCGCTCTAGGTGCCGGTTGGGAACCGGCAATTGGTGCCCGTTTCCCAGCCAGCACCAATTGGTCGGGACCAATGTCATTAGGTCATTGGTGCATGTCATACAACCGACACCTTTGTGCTCTCTCGATTCAAAAAAGAAGAAGTCGGCTCCAAGCCGAGCCGAGCCAAAATCAAATCCATCAAATATCACAACAATGACATCAATAATCCCTAATCCAATCTATCACCAATCATAGATGAACAACAATCCTATCTAGTTTGTATGATATCAACAAATATATGTACAACTACATTAATTTAACACTTCGAGAAAACTCTCATGATAATAGATATATCAACATCTAAGTCCTATAAGGGGTGGATCCAAGCCCTAATCCATCATCTGGGAACTAAGATGAAAGGCCCATGGAGCACTTTGTGATTTTACCATATAAACTTGGGCTAAAACTCTAATGGTCTTGGTCCATTTATTGATCTGTCACTCTATATATGTATGTATGTATGTATGTATATCTCACGCATTGATGGATATGTATTTGGATATATTTATATTTATGTATTCATATCTATATTTGTATCTATATCTATACCAATAAATATTTTGATATATCTAAATCTATCTATATCTATATCAATAAATGTCATTTATATATTTCTGGATCAATAAGTGTATCTAAATCTACCTATATCTACATCTATGATGATTGTGCTCTACAAGAAGAACCACACCTTAATATATCTACATCTACATTGATATTTGTATCCATATCTTACATATGTTTTTATATCTGTATCTGTATCTGATGCATTGATGTATATGTATATGTATATATTTATATTTATGTACTCATATCTATATTTGTATCTCTATCTATATCAATAAATGCACTATATATATTGCATATAAATCTATCTATATATCTATATCAATAAATCTCATTTATATATTTCTTCATCAATAAGTGTATCGAAATCTACCTATATCTACATCTATGCTATTGTGCTCTCCAAGAAGAATCTCATAATATAACATCTACATTGATATTTGTATATATATCTTATGTATATTATTTATATCTGTATCTGTATTTTAACTGTGCATGTATTTCTGCCTCAATAATGTATATAAATCTATCGGTATCTACATGTATACTAATTGTACCCTCCGAGAATAATCACGCATTAAATATATACATGTACTCGATTTGTCCATATGTGTTTATAAATGTTATTTTATCCGTATCTCTTTCTTAATCTTTGAATTAAGAAAAATACCTAAATTGAGGCTCCAAAACAAGTACAACTTGGTACTCATAAATTTCGAACTAAGTTAAAAAACATAGATCATAAAGAAATGTAATTGACACTCCAAATATCTATTAATTCAATACAACGACTTTATGAGTGAATTTCATCAAATTTTAGTTGTTATATTTTAAGTTGCCCAGAACCACCTAGAACCAGGTATAAAGGCTATAAATTTTCACAAAACTACACCATTACATTCTAATTTGGAAATTATGAATTACTTGTTTGAAAACTAATTTAGGATTCAGCGACAACTTACAACCATATATAGTTTTTAATTATAGATTGCAGAATTCTTCAGTTTAAAAAAGAAATTGAGAAAACAAATGTAAAAGTTGTTCTACATATAATTTAGCAAGCACTAATAGTACTCTGCCGAGTAAATTTCAGAAAACTGCAAAGTTAGTGATGAAACTATCAACTTGGTGTAACATTAGCGGGCAATTTTGAGTAATTGCAATAGAAGTGAAATATACTGTTGTTCCTTAAAGTTGCATGGTGGTATCACTTGGGTCCCTGATATTGTAAAACACATATTTAGGTCCGTAATCTTGGTTCAATGTTTCATAGCAGGTCCAAACTTCCTTTGATCGTGACTACTGCTCTACACTATCACATATTTTCCATTTGACCACCTCAGCGGGAGGATAGGTTAAGATGGCGGTAGTGAACCAATGTAACTATTGCAAAACTGCAGTTTTCTTACCGCACCAATGTTTCGGACACCATGGGCCCACATGTCATACCCATGATAGCTAGGGTGAGATATTGTGATACATGAAACTGGAGGACTTAACTTTCTGGCCTATAAACCTTAGATCATATGCATAATTGCATATTCCAAACTGATATTATGTGTATTGAACAACATATCCATTTTTTTTCGGACCTAACGAGCATATAGAAACATTTGAACAGGAAGCAGTAATCATATAACCAGATTATAGCTGCTTGACTTCATCTGTTGCAATTGGTCATATATGACCCAAAATAGCAGGTTTCAACACAGTTTAATCAGGAATTAAGCCCACACAATCTAATACAAAAGGGACCTGTTGATAAATCATCACGATGAGCGGGACTTGGCTAATTTCGCCACGAGATGCTCCAGTAATCACGCATGTGTAGAGAGAAGGTGCCTAAATCAAACCAAGGTGAATTAGAAGGTGAGGATTTGCAACAAATCTTCTTATAGGGCGGCATCTCAAACTCAGAGTTATATTTGGGGTGGTTTTTGCAATTTTCCCTTAATTATATATGCCATGACTTATTTATGTTATCGGCACCTCATGTAAATGCTCTAAGCTAGCTAGCTCTATATTCCATATGTGCTATAGTGAATCCTATCTACTATGCCGGATTTATTGTAAAATCATAGAAAGAAATGACGTACGAAATTATATACATAGGCGTACATTTATCCTTATATATATCTGCACGCCATATTAATTCCAGTTTGCCTAAAATTGGTACCTATAAGGCATTTTTCGTCCACCGGAGCCATTTTGGACGGGAGAAAATTAACAACTAGCTAGCACCTATAAGCACTACAAGAGCTTAGGCCTTCTATGACTAATTAATTGTGACAATTACAGCCTTTTTCTTGTCATTGTACCCCTTATATGACACACTAGTGACAAAATAGCTATAGTCATTGAATCCCTGTCATTATCCTCCTTCTGTGACTAATAGACCCAATTGTCATTAATCGTAGTGACAATTGCATGCTTGTCACTGGTCTGTGACAACGGTATTTGTCACTATATTTGTCATAATACATTAGATGGGATGCTAACAATTGTCTAGTCATCTGACGTGGCATATGACATGGCGTGTGACATGGCATGTGGAGTATGACAAAAATAATTGTCACAAAAACGAATTTGGCCCATTTATAACATGGGCTGGTTTTACAATTATAATTCAAATAAGCCTAACTAGCCCATGGGCCAGCCAACCAATTTTGGACCATTTCTCAACAGCCTTTTTATTTTTTTCATGTAAGCCCAGTAGTATTTCAGCCCATTTTACAGCTGATATTGCAGCCCAAGCTCATTTAAAGAATCATCATAAATAATAAACAACTTATAATTTTATAACAAAAATAATTAGACATCCAAACAGATCATTTCCTCCAAAATTAATGGTTCATACAGCCATATAATTGTACATATAATAGTTCTAAACATTCACCATCCATACAAATGAATCACAACAAAATACGTCCACCAAAGTCCTACAAGTCCAACAGATCACCAGGTCACTAATCAGTAATACCAAACATACATCCATCAAAATCATTCTAGTCAAGGCAACAACAGATGGCAACTTCCAATCATCGCCTGTTCACCAACTGCAGCAACCACTCCACTTACAGCTTCAGTCATGGCACCAATAGCATACACAAGTTGAAATGGGGTGCCGAACACACATGTTGAAATGTAGAAAAAATATAGTTTATATAAAATGTTGGAGCCCGATAGACTAAACATGCCCATTAAATTTGAGCCCACCAAATTCAATCCAATTTCTGATACCAGAGGCACAGAGCTGATGCGCTAGTCAACTAGAGGAAGAGAAGCATAGGCAGCTGTTCATTACCTTACCTGCAGGGGAAGGCCATTGCGTTCCGCTGGAATCGAAGCGAAGGCTGCAGGGCTAGGGACGAACAACCGAGGTGACGAGCGCCGGAGCGGGAGCGGGAGGCCAGCCAGGAGCACCGGAGTGGGAGCGGGAGGCTGGTCGCTGGGCTGGCTGAGAGCACCAGAGCGGAGACGGCGGCGGAACCCGCATCCTGCCGTGCATGGCAACTTTGCAGATAACAGATCAACACAAAGAGTGACAGATATAAGTGCTAAAATCAATTAAGTCACATAATATTAAGGAGAACACATGGCAACTTGCATTATGGTGAAGACAACTGTGGTGAGTTCAGAAAAGAATTGATCAAAATGCTAGCATCAAAAGGCAGCAGCAAAGAAGTGGTATAGGCTATAACAGAGTGAAATTCCTTCTCCCTAGGATGGAAAGAGCAGTTGGTCACCCTAACTATCTAGTAAGCACTCCAATGACAAACCAAACTGTACACTATATGGGTGTAATAGACTACTAAATATTTGTAGATGATGAAGATCCTTTTCAAGTGTTGTTTCAATGCAAATTTGTGTCTAATGGCTCAAGTTGTGCTGAAATAATCATTGTTCTATTTAACCTCAAGAGCTTAAGATAACTAGATAAGATCAATATTGTGCTACTATTTCTAGTTAAATAGGCAGAGCATAATATAGAGGCAAGAGTCAGGGCGTATACCCGAGCTCGCCGCCGCCGCTCGCCACCGCGCCGGATCCGCCGCGCCCGACCTCGCCGCCACCACCCGCCGCCGTCGTCGTCGCCGAGGTCGTCATCGCCGTGGGGAGGTCGTCGTCACCGCGCCGGATCCGCCGCGCCCGACCTCGCCGCCACCACCCGCCGCCGTCGTCGTCGCCGAGGTCGTCATCGCCGTGGGGAGGTCGTCGTCACCGCGCCCGAGCTCGCCGCCGCCGCTCGCCACCGCGCCGGATCCGCCGCGCCCGACCTTGCCGCCGCCGCCCGCCGCCGCCGTCGTCGCCGCGGGGAGGTCGTCGTCGCCGCGCCCGAGCTGGATCCGCCGTGCCGCCACCGGATCCCCCGCTCCCGCCGCCGGCCGCCCCCGCTCCCGCCGCCCACTCCCGCCGCCGGATCCGGGCGGGACGAGGCCCGCGTCGCCGCCCCCTCGTCGTCGTCGTCGGGGTCGGCGCCGCCCACTCGTCGTCGTCGTCGGGGTCGGCGCCGCCGCGGAGGGGGCAGCCCGAGCGACGGGGACGACGTGGCGGCCGCCAGCCGCCGGCACGCGCACGCCGCCCACGCGCCGAGAGAGGAAGAGAAAGAGAGGGAGAGGAGAGAAAGAGTGAGAGAGAGAGAGGAAGGAGAGGAGTGAGGAGAAGGGGAAAATATCAGGGGGGAGAGAGGGGGGAGGAAAGATGAAATATTTTGAAGTGGCGAGGAGGGAAAATTTTTATTTGAAATTTCGAATCAATTTTTATGGCACTAAATTAACTCGTATAAAAAAGTTGTAAAAAACAAATTTGTATAACTTATTTAGATCTACCATTTTTCTTTTTGTCATTTCTCCATCCGAGTTTGATTAGACTATATAAAATTTGAATTTTAAATTATGACAACTTCAAACAATATTTTCAAATAATAAATGATTTCAACTGAAAAAGTCATCAACAACAAAGTTGTATAACTTATCAAGATTTACAACTTTTGTTTTGGTCATTTTTCTATATGACTTTTTGTTGAACAGTATGAATTTGAATTTCAAATTACGACAGCTTCAAACAATATTTACAAGTAATAAATGATTTCAACTGAAAAAGTAATCAATAACAAAGTGGTATAACTCATCAAGATCTATAACTTTTATTTGGGTCATTTCTTCATTTGACAAAGCGATTTGTAACATTATTTACAAATTTTACATATCTCTTATATAGTTTATAAACTATAAGAGAGATATGTAAAATTTGTGAACAATGTTACTATCACTTTATTGGATGAAGAAATGACCCAAATAAAAGTTATAGATGTTAATGAGTTATACAACTTTGTTATTGATGACTTTTTCAGTTGAAATCATTTAGTATTTCAAAATATTATTTGAAGTTGTCATAATTTGAAATTCAAATTCAAATTATTGAAAAAGAGTCATATTGCAAAATGACCAAAACAAAAGTTGTAGATATTGATGAGTTATACAACTTTGTTATTGATGACTTTTTCAGTTGAAATCATTTAATATTTAAAGATGTTATTTGAAGTTGTCGTAATTTGAAATTCAAATTTTATATAGGTCAATCAAACTCCGATGGAGAAATAACTAAAATAAGATAGGTAGATCTCAATAAATTATACAACTTTGTTTTGGACAACTTTTTCACATAAGTTTATTTATTATGATAAAATTCGATTCGAAGGTTTAATATTTTGAAATTAATTGAAAGGAGGGAAGCAAAATGGACTTCTCGGCGAGGGAGAAGCAAAAGGGCTAGCCCATAGCTTCATTCCATCTCTGTTTAACCCTTTTTTTCTTTTTATTTTATTATACTATTGTGAAGTAACACACAAAAGACATAATAAATCAACTTTTATGAAAAAGTTGTAAAAACAAAGTTGTAGAACTTATTGAGATATACCATTTTAGTTTTGGTCATTTCTCTATCTGAGTTTTATTGAACTATATAAAATTTGAATTTCAAATTATGACAACTTCAAACAATATTTTTAAATATTAAATGATTTCAACTGAAAAAGTCATAAACAACAAAGTTGTATAAATCATTAATATCTACAACTTTTGTTTTGGTCATTTTGCTATATGACTCTGTTTCAATAATTTGAATTTGAATTTCAAATTATGACAATTTAAACAACATTTTCAAATACTAAATGATTTCAAATGAAAAAGTCATAAACATCAAGGTTGTATAATTCATCAAGATCTATAATTTTTATTTTGGTCATTTTTCATCCGACAAAGCAATTTGTAACATGGGAGTGTGTGTTTCCCAGTGTGTAAAATGTACAAGATGAAAAGAATCAATAATTACACAGCAACGGAAGAGTAGCTCAGTGGTTTGTCCTGGGAAGCCAGTCAGCCAGAGGGCGTGGGTTCGATCCCTCCTCATTGCAAGAAGCGCTACATTTTTATTCTTTTCCAGTTAATATTCTAACTTACACATGGGTCCCACATGTCCACCTAGACATGCTCACGTGGCTGTGCCAAGGTGTTCCTTTTTTTAAAAAAATGAATTTTAAATTATGACAATCATATTCATTCACTTTCGTAATGAACTATTGTCACAAAAAATGGGAAAGGCACATGGTGACATTTGTTTATGACTAAATTACAACTTAGTCACAAACGCTTGTCATCCAAAGAAAAATTGTCATAAACGCATCACTACTGTGACTAAAATGTGTTTTGTCATATGAAATTTATCATAAAAGACCAAATTTCTTGTAGTGAAGGTTTTATAGGTACTGGTTGTAGACAAAGTTGGTATTGGTTACGAGCCAGCACCTATAAGCCCCGTCCCCTCCTTAAACGGTCCTCAATTTGTTAAGAACTGGGACTTTTGTCAACATAAATCTTCTTTTTTCTCCACGCATGCCCAATGACCTAGGGCGGCCACCCGGGCTGGTCAGGCTGATGTTTAATAGGATTTGAGTGTTTTTTAGTAAATTGGGAAACAATCATAGCAAACACCTATTGGCATATGTGTCTGTTTTTATGATAAACCGATATGTATGGTATGCTATGACGAGGGTGCTGTTTTTAACATGAACTGGCATATCTATATGGCATATATAGAATGGGGGCACCAACAATATCACATATATAGGTACCAGTTACAAAATTGGCAGTAATGACCCGGGTCATTAGTTCCGTATAATTGGTGTCAGTACCTTTGGTCCTTCTGAAACCGGTACTAATGTGCCTTCGTGAGCTAGTGCATATCAGTATGTCCAAGAGACTGATCCAACATATCTTGAGATTGACGAAGTTATCGTAGACGTATGGTTGTAAACGGAGTATGTCATCTACGATTGAAAGAATGATTAGCCGTAAATGTGAGACCCTGTATGAGTAGATTTCATCACAAGAAACTAGCTGATTGAGCTATGCTTACTTCTATATTTACAACGAGATTTTTAGTGCTCTATCTACTTTATATTCCAACTAGGAAGGTAGCCCGCGCATTCGCACGGGCATGCTTGTTATTTCTTTTCGAAAACAGGTCTAACAAAATGAATTTAAATTAAAATTATGTATTTCCCTTCTTAATTGAATGCTCATTGTTTATTTTTTCTTAAAAAATCTTAAGAAACTTTAATTTCTCATAAATATAGTTTTCTACCATCCTGCTGTCTTTAATTTATTGATTTTGTATTGATACCTTAGAAGCTTATACATGCAAGTTGTGGAATTTAGTAAATTCGTTTAATTATCATTGACATTCATTTATTGATGTGTCAAAGCGAAATATGGCTTGTATGTAGAGAAGCATAAAAAAATTAAAAAAGAATAAAATATCGTTAGGACATAAAATGAGTTTTTTCCCCTATAGCCAAGGGAGTAGATTGATTCAATACTACCTTTGCGGATTAAGTGCTTCACTAAAATAGTTCTCTCTATAAAAGTTTCAATGCTATCTTGTGGGTTAAGTACTCCACTAAAATAGTTGTGTAAAAACATTACAAAAGTTGTTTCTAAAGGTGACCCATGAGTCTGAGCCAAGCTCGTCACATAGGAGGGTGCACATTTGAGGAACATGTGAAAAGAATGCCCATGGAGATCATTTGTTTATGAGTGCGATGAATACAATTGTTCATTCAATTAAAAAGTTGGATAAGTGGCTTAAAGTTGACATTTTACATTGATTGATTATGAAAGTAATGGTACATACAAATCTTTGTGCCCGTATAACTATTTGCCAACGATCAATAGAACTTGATAGTTACTTTCGGTGTTCCTTTTAGTATGTAGCAAATTGGCTACATATTTTACAACTTACTGTATCTTTGGTGAGATGCACCTGCTATTTTTTTCTATATGTTGGCTAGATTGTTTCATTGTTATTAATCGATACCTTGGGTGCATGTGACACTATATATATTTCAAACAAAAAAGCCTTCTCGGGTCTAAATTGATTTTGCAGTGTGGGAGACAATTCATTTGTTCCGTGCACTGTGGTATGATTGTTGTCATGATTTAAATATTTTTGCTCTAAAATTTATGATTAAACATTAGAAATTTACGTGATCCAAACGATCACTGTTTGTGATTTTATGTTAGCTAACGTGCATTGGGCATTTAGTGACAATATTTATATTGCATAATCTTAAATGTGAAGCCTACCATGCTTACCCTATTTTATCTTTTTTGTTTGAAAGAATTAGCCATTTATACAATCATGGTAGTTTGAATACTAAATAGTTTTTATCTTTTAAGTTTCTAAAATAATTGGTAGATAAAGCTCTTAGCTCGGTCATCTGTGATATACACCTGTACTCCCAAGCTAATTTGGCCCCTATCACACATGTAGTCACAAGCTAATTTGGCCCCCATGCTGATGGTGTTCCCATTAATGTCGATGGGGGCAAAACTGTGACCGATCAGGAGTCTTAAACGTTTCTAGGATGTTCACGTGGTGGTTTGAGAGTTTTTTTAGGAGGTTTAATGGACTTTTAGTATATAATAGATAAATATAATTATATTATTTTGACTTACCATAGTTTTAGAATGCGGGGAATAATTTTTTTTAACACCACTCATAGTTAAGTTTATTTTACTTTTACCGTTGTTGATCTAATTTAATTATTGTGAATACGTTGATAAAAATATATATGATTATTTTTTCATATTTTTTATATTTATCTAAATGACACATATAAAAGTCAGAAATTATAACCAAAATGTGACTTTTTTGAAAGTTGAAATATAATGAATATGATCTTTAACCATATATTTAGTCATAAATTATCTAACGATATAAACAGATAAAAAATATCAATTTAGATTTGTGGTTTCTAACCAACATTGCATAAAAATAGGAATAAGAGAGGGAACAGATAAAGAGAAAAAGAGGGACCGCGGATAACATACCGTACTTACGACTCCATGCGCACTAAAATTTTTAATTACATGAAAAGATATGTACTTATTATGAGTATTGTGCATATCTAATGTGATGAAAAGATATGTTCGAGAGCGATGAATTCTAGACTACCAAGAGCGATGAATTCTACCACCATGCAGAAAGATGCGGTGTTTTTTTTTCTTTTTCATGGAGATAATTACAAATAATCCACAACTTTGCACGACAAAGGCGCATGCACATAATTCTGGTGCTCATAACAATCATATGCGTATACTGATAGAATATGCAACAACAGTAGAGCTAATTAAGTCGTTTTACCGGACAGGGAGTCAGCAATGCCATTGGCAACGCAATACGCCACGGACTGTATGGTGATCATGGGGTTGATGCCCACTGCGGTGGGCAGCACGCTGTCATTGCACACATACAGCTGCTCCGCCTCCCAGCTCTCGCCATGGGCGTCGACGGTGCCGTTGCCCACCGTGGTGCCCATCCGGCAGCAACCCATGTGGTGCATCGAGCAGAAGAGGCCCCACGTCTCTTTTAGAGATTGATCTAATGGTTAAAAATATTGGGTCCACCGGATTAAATGAAATTCAATAGTTTTTGCCTTTTTCTAAGAGATTTTAAGAATTTCTCTAATTTATCAGAGTGCCACGTGGTGGCTTAGGAGCATTTATAGGGTATACGTGGCAGCTTAGAAGCGTTTGTAGAAAGTTTCATGGACTTTTAATGTATAATATTATGTACCAAAACATGGTCAATACGGATCAAACAAAAAAAATCAAATATGTTAAAAAATATTTAGCCATCTAATTATTGATTTTTTTTAACTCTTTAGCTAGAAAACTGAGAGAGGAAGTGAGGAAAGCGGAGACTTATCATCTGTTAGGTCATATGCGTAATTCATCAAAACTACACGTGTCATAGATGATCTTACTTCTTTGATGGATTATCCCTACAGACATATCTCAAACATTCTACGTTTTGATCCGTTCATTAGTATGAGAGCTATCATAAATGATTTGTCATGGATGGCTTCGCTTAAGCGTGTCATAAATTGAATGTGTAGATTGGCTTAAAAAAGTAATTATTTATTTATGTCACCAAGATCATTCATATATAAATTAAAGTTCCACGTAAAAATAGATCTAATAATTTTTATAGTAACAAATTATGGTGCATAACCTTAATAAAAAAATAAAAAAGAAAGAGAATACTGAGTGGGAGGAGCAGATGTGGTGGTTCGTACGTTTTATACGTACCTGTAGCTCCAAGAGAAAAGGGTGATCGGATCGGTGGATTTAATATAATGGTTAGTATTACCGGGTAAACTGTTTTAACTTAAAAATAAACGGTTAGATATTTTTCTTTTTTTCTCAGAAATTATTAGAGCGTCACGTGGCGGTTTAGAAGCTTTTGTAGGAATCCCACATGGTGGTTTGAGAGCGTTTGTAGAAAGTTTAATCGACCTTTAGTATATAATATATAATAATATATTTATTTTTTGGCTAGACAATTCCTCAAATTTACATTGCACGGGCTATAATATTGTTACTATAGGATTCCTCGACTTATGAGTGTTTATAGAGTGCCATGCTAAATCATATTGGTTGCTTGCGTTGTGAACAAAAGTTACTGGATCTACCTTGGTGCAAGTGAACTTAGGGGTCATCCGATGGCTTAGCTGAGCCCTTAATTAGTTGATGTCGTTTCATATCAGAAACGAAACAACTTGGAAGTTTGAACGGGATTTTTCTTAAATAAAAAACAGCAAAAGTAGTTTGCAGATCAAAGTTTGAACCAAATCTTAATTGATAAATTGCACCGGAGCAGTATATGTTTGGGGACTCAAGAGTTTGGTTGGATCCACATCGATGGACTCATGGTACTCACGGCTGTTTTTGTGGCGCAGATCTTCTGGTGCGGGGCGATCACCAGTGAAAGAGGTCGACGTATATGTAGTCATTGTTTCGTCGCGCGTGCAGAACGTAAGGCTCACGTAGCACGTTCTTTTTTCTATATATAAATCTAAGCGATTATCAGGGACAACAGATCACCGAGGGATTACTGTTTCTTTTTCATAAATATGATCTAACGGTGTAAAATAATGGGTCCACCAGTTTAAGTGAAAACCGAAGGCTAGATGTTTTGTTTTTTATTAGAATTTCTAGGGATTTCTCTAATTTATTAGAGCGCCACTTGGCGGTTTAGGAGCGTTTGTAGGAAGTTTCATGGACTTTTAGTATATAATAGAAGATAGATAGATAGATAGATAGATAGATAGATAGATAGAAGATAGATAGATAGATAGATAGATAGATATAAGTTACACAAATAATAAAAACCACTTGAGATGCCTTGGATAAAAATTGAACATGATTTATTTAATGAGGGTTTCTATCTAATTAGACATCTGCGTTGGCACCTTAATCAGACTATATATATCATTTTTCTGTTCCCTTGAATCCATGAAGTAATACAAATGATTTACAATAAGATCATTATATTCGTCGGCATTTGACTTATTTTCTTCTCGAGAAAACTCACCCAGAATCCTCTAAAATCACGAATGAGTACAAAACTACCCCCGATGCTCTACTTCTTAAAATTATTACCAAATTAATTAAGAATGCTCTCGGTATCTGGGTCAGAGGACACGTATAAGCCTTCTACTCGTTGGATCTGCCAAAGTTGCTTCGTCTTTGTGGATGACTATGTTACTTTCACCGATGCCAAAGTCTTGAATAATTTAACTCTGCAAATCTAAAGATTGGTCTGCAAGAAAAGCACAAACAATGTTCAAGATGTGGATCAAGATTTGTCGAACAAACAATGGGTTTGTAAGAATTTTTATAGAGGACAGCTAGGGAGCTAATTTTCTGTATGTCTTCTTTTGAACGTTCAAAATGGAATTAACATAACATTAAATAGTAGTGCAATCAATAGTAGTTTGTAGCAATGCGAGTACGTGACAAAGCTCTTGTGTTAGGGGAAAATGAGCAAAAAGAAGATATTATTACCTTAATAAGTCCTTAACTCATCAATCTTTACATTGCGCAGACTGAAAAGGAAATTTTATTATAGAACCATAATTTAGCGTTCAAGATCACTTTGATACAACATAATTGTGAAAGCTAGCACCCTTGTGTGCCTTGACTACGGACAAATTAGGATTAAATCCCACAAGGTTTAAACCCTTCTTCCAACACATAAAACACTTAAAGACACATAGAAACAGCTCATCAAGCCATGCATCAGCACGAGAACCCCATCAACTTGTAGTCGTTTTAATCGTCTTATCTTCCTCAAAGTCATATGATCGACGAGTAGTCGAGTCCATCAAGAAATGAAATGCAGTGGTTGTTGTATACCGGCCTTCTCCATTTGTTGAAGAGAATGGGAGCATCAACATTAGAGCCAAGCACCTTCTCTCAAACCCTTGTCTCTAAACAAAGAGGCAAAGGAAAAAAGATTCAAAAGTGAAATTACCAATCGATCGATCCCTCCTAAAACGCGAGCACGGGAACAATACATGCATGGATGCACCTATGCATGTACATATCAGTCATGCTGCCGGAATCTGAAGCCCTACCAAAATGGCAGGCCAAAAAAGATCCAAAACAGGAGGGATCAATCGATTAGAACAACGATTGATCGATCTGCCATGCGTTTGCACGGAAGATCGATCAATCACTCCAACGGAGAAGCATGACAACGCATCGGCGGATTATGTAGAGCTTGGCTCTCTTCTCCTTGAGAGCCTTGTTCAGCCTCCCCATCTGCTTCACCTGGCTCACAACCTTCATAGCTTGATAATTGGTATTGATACCAAAAAACAAAGAAGGTTTTGGTTGAGGATGTATTGAAGCTAACTCAGCTTGTCTCTGAAGACCTAGCTAGCCCTAGCTGTGGCTAGGAAAGAAGCCAGGGTCTTTATATAGAGACTGAGGAGAAGGAGATCAGGGAGGTCCAAGAAAGATGTCATATATCACAGGACCATCATACCCCCCACATGGAAAAACCCAAGAAGCTTGCTCATGGACTAGGAGGCACCCCCTGATAAGATAGATTATCATGCTCTTATTCTATTGGCTCCATGCTTAGGAGATACCAAAAGAAAATAATAATCTACAGATGGCCATCCCAGATTAGAGAATTACAATGAAGTTAAAGCAGGTTACAAGATAGATTGGACAGCTGGCCATCCTTGCATGTAATAAAGTTAGGGGAGATGCATGAATGCATTTTGTTTTAGTCCCTCCAGGAAATGGGCCTCTAATCTCGATAAGATCTCTGCAACAGTGCAAAGAATGGATGAAACTTCCAGGAAGGCTGTAATATGTGTGATTGACGGTGCGTGAATATAGAGAGCAATATCTATGCCATGCCTTTTGATTTTACTAAATTAATTGGGTTAACGCTATGTTGGGATATCAATTCAACCATATACAATTACTGGCATCAGTAACAGAAGTACATTATTGTTTCAGACAGCACAATGTTCAACCTGTGTAGAGCGTTCATTTTCTTTCCGAGAAACACAGTACGCCCACAACTTGTGTACACTCACTCCTATATAAACGCACACACGCACACTCTACCCCTATGAGCACCTTCGAAAGACTAGACCAGCATATATTGAGATTAACGAAATCCAAATACACAGTATACCCACAACGTGTATACATTCACCCCTATACCTATGTGCACTTTTGAAAGACTGGACCAGCTAGCATATCTTGAGATTGTCGAAGTAACGACGGGCGCCTCCCTATTGAGGGATACATAGCCTACCACTGAAAGAATAATTAGCCGTTGAATGCAAGCACCCGTGTCAAATCTAGGGTTTGAACTTGGGTGGGTTGTTTCAAAAAAAACTAACCAATTGAGCTACACTCACTTCGCACAAATTTTCATTTTAATATAGATAGGCTAGCTAGAATTATTATATATCGCACCCAGTGTGACACACACACACTGTAGAACATCCATTATGATGCAAGACTAAAAAGTTTTACTCGTGTATTTGTGTACCAGGTATACCCACGAGTAGTTTTAGTCAAAGGTACATAACTCTCCCCGCAAAAAAAAAAGGTACATAACTCAACAGAAAGGCGCAAAGCTCATTTATAAATTGGAAAACCACATAGTACTACCACTTAAGATAAAATACTTCTATTTTCTATAAAACATATGGTAAAATACTCAACCTTTTTCTTAAAAAAGAAAAATCTTATGTGATGGTAGTATATTGTTATGGATGATTTTGTTACGACCAGATAGTGATATGCGGTTACCAAAAACCTTCATATGTGCAAACATCACAATGACAATATATCACACATATATGGTTCTTACAGTGGTTATAAAAATATCTTTGAAAAAAAAAACTATGACAAAATTGTGGTAAATTAACCATTTTTTTTAGGGAAAAATTAACCATTCTGTGGTTAGATGTCTAGAGATCCTCGAGGATAAGCAATGGTAGTGCTAGATATTGGTATTACTGACTAATCACCGAGTACCTAATAATCATCGTGTGGCTGCAAGTAAAAAAAAAAAAAACAAATCACTTCTCTCGTGCTGCTTATTTTCAGATTATTTAGTCTGAAATGATCATTATGGTATGATAACGGTGAATATTTTTAGTACAAATGGACTACTATGGGAAGGTAATGATTTACATCTCAAATCCCCTTTTTGCCTTCTTACTCATATGCATGCCCAAATACACTGGATGTGGCCAAGGCCAATCTTAGGAAACTATAAGTTACTTAACTACAATCTTTACAAGATAAACATTCTTTGTTGCTGAAATGTTAATCCTTTGACTGTCGATGTGGATGTTTACTCCCTTCACTCTCAAATTGACGTTATTTCTTTTATCAGAACGTGTGTGCAGAGCAACTTTCAGTTGTTTAATTTCCAACTATAAGAGATACTAATTAAAACACTTCTGTATTATAATATTTTATTGGTTTTACTAATGCTTCCAATGAGAAAAATGTAATTAAGGTCATCCATAACTAAGACCATAGAAAATTAAAGAAATATACTATAAGAAAGTATATACATAACAACTAATTGACAGCAAAATAGTATATATGGGCTTGCATGAAAGTATATATTCAAGATCGATAAGATGTGATCCTGAAGTATTAACGACAAAATAAGCTAATATTGTTCAACTATTGTCCAGCATCAGAAGCAAAGGTTTCCTTCTCAAGCGTGTAATACTGCATGATCAGCAGTCAAGGACAAACGATATGGTCAACAGACACTAAGACACAGATGCCTCATATAATTAATATCTCAACAGGGGATGCATCTTGCCAACCTTCACTCTCACAATTTGCCCCTGATGTGAATAAATATTCCCTTTGCAAAAATTCATACTCCTGTCGTCTTTCGATGCATATGTATATAGAATTCCTTGATGTTGATATCAAATGATACGTGTCAGTTTCCTTGGGCTTGTGATGGTTTTGTGAGATGCTTCTCTGCAAATTAAGGCTCGGCCTGCCGGCCTAATTGAAAAAGGATTCACGGTGTAATGCATTTTTTTTTCTTGATTTTTAACCTATATGAAGTATAATAAGGGAACAAGACAATGTAAGCAAGAGAATAATATAGTGCAAATTAATTAGCACATATCATGATCAGAAACTACAAGAAAACTCTCTATATTCTATTAGTCAATCGACAGTGTTGTGATCTACGCGATAGGCTGGTAATGTTATCATTTACCAATTGCACAAGGATCCGATGAAGAGTATGCACACATCTATCTTTCGTGTTTTGCGTATGTGCTCGAAGCAAAATGCATGTGTGGTTATGAGCCAGCACTGACACTGATGGAGAAACCATCTTTGGTCGGTCGACCAAATTCCACAATAGTCCCGGTTTCATTAAAAAACGGGATTAAAAACGATTTTTAGTCTTGGTTAAAAAAAATTTGATCCTTAGTCCCACTAAAGATGATTTTTAGTTCCGGTTCATCCTCTGTCAGAGGCATGTCAGGAGGCCGAGGATCTTTACTCCCGGCTGATACTACCAACCGGGACTAAAGATTACCACTTTAGTCCCGGTTGGTAGTACCAACCGGGAGTAAAGATCATTTAGATCTTTAGTCCCGGTTGGTAATATCAAACGGAACTAAAATTCAACATAGTATATAATCCCTATTCCTTATCCTCTCCTCCACCATCACAACCACTTCCTCACCCACAGATCGATCCTCCTCTCTTCTCCCCTCCACTCTCCTCCCCTTCCTCCTCCCTCCCCTGGAGACGGATGAGGCCGCTCCTCCTTCCTTTCCCTTTCCTCCTCCCTCCCCTCCTCCTCCTTCCTTCCTCTTCCTCCTCCCTCCCCTCCTCCTCCTTCCTTCCTCTTCCTCCTCCCTCCCCTAGAGACGGATGAGGCCGCTGATGAGGCCGCGCCACACGGATGCGGTGGACGGACGGACGCGCAGGCGTCTCTTTTTTTTATATATTTTGTGATTCACTAAGATGTAATTTTGTGATTCATTGTATGGATTTGAGATGTATAATCTATGATGTATTTGATTTGTGTGTAATTTTTTTAGGATTTGTGATGTTTTAGATTTGTGTGTATAAGTAACTTTAAGATTTGTGATGTGGATTTGGGATTTGTGATGTGGATTTGAGATGTTACTTTATTTGGGATTTGGGGTTTGATTTGGGATGTGCATGCCATCCGATTCGGGAGAAAATAAAAAAAGTAACAAAAAAAAGTACCATCCGGGATTGTCCCTATCCTCTCTTTAGTCCCGGTTGGTGTTATTAACCGGGACTAAAGAGAGATCTTTACTCCCGGTTATTTCGTCCGGGACTAAAGATAGCGATCTTTAGTCCCGGATTCGTAGTCCCGGTTAGGAAACCGGGACTATAGGGGATTATAAAACGGGAGTAAAGACAGTTTCTCCACCAGTGTGAGGTCCACCCAAGTTCCAAGCGAGGCTAAAACGGGATCATTATTATCACAAACAACTTATAGGTGCCAGTTGAAAATGGAATATATGTGCCAGTTTTTCAACCGGAGCTAATTAAGCGGCACCAACGTACGCTGCATCTGCATTGGTGCTAGAAATTCACTACTAGAAAAAGCATTTTCCCAAGCGGTCAAAATTGATTTTTGCAGGCGAAGGGTTGGACCGCCAGTAGCTCAACGACTGCGAAAATCATCTATTTTTGCAGCCGGGGCAATAGCCCGCCTACGAAAATCCATTCAAAAAAACAAAAAAAAAAACTCACGGGCGGCGGGCCGCCGCTGCCGCCCTCCTCTGGCGTCGCCGCGCCGGGCGGGAGGGGAGGGGAGGGAGCCACGCCGGTCGTCGTCGTCGCCTCCGCCATCATTGCGCCGTCGCCGCCGCCACTGCCCCGTGCCGTAGCCGCCGCCGCCGGTCTCCCCCCTCCCTCCTCCGGCCAGATCTGGGAGGGAGGGGGGAGGGGAGCCGCCGCCGGGCCGCATCGTCGTCGCCGTAGTCGCCGCCGCCGGCCTCCCCCTTCCCTCCTCCGGCCAGATCTGGGAGGGAGGGGGGAGGGGAGCCGCCGCCCCGCGCCGTCGCCGCCGCCGCCGCCCCGTGCCATCGTCGCCGTAGTCACCGCCGCCGGTCTCCCCCCTCCCTCCTCCAACCAGATCTGGGAGGGAGGGGGGAGGGGAGCCACCGCCGGGCCGCATCGTCGCTGCCTCCGCCGGACGCCACTGCCGCCGCCGCCCCACCGCCTTCCGCGCGGCCCCGCGCGCGTAGCTGCCGTGGGAGAGGGTGAGGGCCCGAGGGGAGGAGAAGTGAGGGGAGGGGAGGGGAGGGGAGGAGAGGGTGAGGATTTGGGACTTAGAGAAAAATCTACTCCTATTCCAGTCTATTTATATTCA